ACAGAGAACGCAGTGCTCTATATAATAAGCACTGGGCTAGGAACCATGAGGTCTGAGGTTCAAGCCTGCTAGTTTCTCTGTGGGAGAAAGATGAGGTTTTCTGATCCTGCAAAGCTTTTGGAGTCCTGGTGTGGTGCTATAGGATAAGCAAGGTTTGTTTGAACCTTAAGATCAGTGGTTCAAACTTACCAGCCACTCCTTGGAAATCCTACACAGGGTTGATATGGGTTGGAACCAACTCGATAGCATTTAACAACAACAAAAACAGTCATCTTACATTCATGATGAGAATGGATTCATATTAATTTTTCTTTTACCAGACACTGGTGCCCTAGAGTCCTGATGCGGCACTGTAGGGTAAGTACTAGACTGCTAACTGCAAGGTCAGTGATTCAAATCCACCAGCTAATCATCAGAAACCTATATAGGTGACTATGAATCAGAACCAACTGGACAGTATGTGTAACAACGATAACAAAAAAGTACATTAAAGTCATGATATGATTTCAGTGGAATTTAACTTGAAAGGGTCAATATTATGTAATTATATTACATTTCAATAACAAACATCAATTGATTCAAACCTGACAGCATGGTCAGGTAAACAATTACAAATATGTGGTTAGCAATGCTGTCTCCATTCTAGATTATGTAATAAGTAATTATTATCAATTCTAGATAACATAGTTGTGTCTGTTAAGTGCCATCAAACTGGTACCAACTCATAATGACCCTGTATAGGATTTCCGAGGAGCGGCTGGTGAGCTTGAACCACCAACCTTGTGGTTCAAAACGACCTTGCAGTCCAGTGCATTAACACACAGTGCCACACCAAGACTTCAAAAAACATAGTAAGCAACTGTTATTGATTCTAGATAATGTAGTAAGAAAAGTCTTTTCCTAAATCTTCTCCAAAAAAATCACATGCTGTGCAAAATGTCCCCCCTCCCCGAACCCCAGTCAAGAGTTGCTTGCTGAATACCTGGAAAACTTCTAGGAGACAAAGAAATATGAAATAAACTAAAAATAAAAATAAAATGAAATTAAAAAAAAAAGAATAAAATTTGACATGCTGTTCCCAAGAAGTTCAAAATCCAATTAGGAAAATAGAACAAACATGAAAAATCCATTACTGCAACATCTTAAACTATAGTGAGATATTCATAGGTCATTAATTTGTCTATCCATTCATAAATTTATTCAACAAATATTTATTGAACACCTACTATGTGCCAAGACACATTAGATACCAAGGTTACAATGATGAGCAAAACCAGATACAAGAGTTAACAGCTCAATGGGAAGAAAGATGGTAGTTACACATTTCTTACGTGTGACTGAGGTCAGTACTATCAAGGAAAAGAAAACAATTGCATAACATATAACAAAGGTAGACTGTGGGTGGGCGTGGGGGCAGGCGAGACATGGAAGACTTTTCTGAGGAAGTAAGTTTTGAGCTAGGAACTGACATTGTTTAGACAAAAAAGTGGAAGAGGAACATCCAGACTGAGGGACATGGTATGTTCCAGGTAAGAAAAAGCTTGTGTTACTGAGGGACATGGCATGTTCCAGGTAAGGAAAAAACTTACATAACTGAGGGACATGGCATATTCTAAGTAAGGAAAGAATCTTTGATAGGAACAAAGTAGGTTGGGGCAGCGGAGAATGGTGCAAGATGAGCCAGAACCATTTAGATAGACAATAAAAAGAATTTGGGTCTTTATCCTACAGACCGGGGAAGTCTTTGAAGCATTTTAAGCAGGGGGTGGCATCATCAGATTTGTATTTTGTAAGAACTGCCTTAGCTGCTTTATGAAAAGGTATCTGAGGGGATGAGGGAGGACGGTTTTAAAGCTATTTCTTTAGTTCATGTGTGAATTGACGCTGTCTTGGCATACAAAGAGAGAAGAGGAATGCTGCAGACAGACATGGAGATACTTTAAAAGTTGGGTAAACAGAATTTTTTGTTATAGATTGGATGTGAGACTTGTGGTGATAGAAACTCTGGAACAAGATTCATTTTCTGTCTTGCACAATTGGATAAAGTGTGGAACTTTCACTGAGGTAGATAATGTTGAAATTGAATCAAGTTGGAATTGGATCAGGAATATTGGTCCTTGACATTATGAATTTGAGATAGCTTTGCAACATTTAAATTTGGAGATTTAGCACAGTTATGTAGGTGAAATGGAATGGAGTTCAGAGGAGAACTGGGGATGAAAAGTTGGGAGTCCTCAATGTTTACGTGGTAATGAAAGCTGGGTCCTTAGATGGTAATTCCTTGTGGAAAAGTATTTAGTGATAAGAGAAGAGCTAAGTAGACCTTATCTAATATGATGTGGTCAGAGAGAGAGGGGAGTCATGAACGTTAGACTGAGAAAGACTGGCCAGAATGGTAGGAAAAAATCTAGGAGAGTGTGCCATTGAAAACCAGAGGAAGAGGTTTTAAGTGTGTATTTCCTTTTTTTTCTTTTTCCCCTTAAAAAGCAACTACTAAACGTCCTATAGAATGAGAGAAAAAAACCCAAACCAACCCTTGTATTTAGTAATTTTGGCAGAATATATTTTTGTTCTCAATTTTTTACTCCTATGCACGTATGCATTTTGACACGTGGTTTGGCAGTTCCAATAGAAGTAAATTGTTGTTGTTAGGTGCCATCAAATCAGTACCAACTCACAGCAACCCTATGCACAACAGAATGAAACAATGCCCAGTCCTGGGCCAACCTCACAGTAGTTGCTACGCCTGAACCCATATCTTCTGTCACTGTGCCAATCCATCTTGTTGAGGGTCGTCCTCTTTTTCTTTGACCCTCCAATTTACCAAACATGTTATCCTTCTCCAGTGACTGGTCCCTCCTGACAACATGTAAATAAACTCCCTATTAATATTGGGTTTGGCATGTGACTTGTCCAGTGGGATGGGAGCGGCAGTAACAGGGTGACAATTCTGAGTCTACACCATAAGAGGTGGAGCTGGTTTCTGCTCCTCTCTGTACAGCTGCCATCATCATGAAAGTACGATACCAAGTTCAATGTCTGATCACATCAATATGAGAGAAAATGAACTGTATGTACATGAATGGTGACAGCCATTTTATTCATAATAGTCCCAAACTGGAAACAGTTCAAATGCCTATCAACTGTTGAATGAATGAGCAAATTATGGTAAATTCTTACAGTGGAATATTAGTCAGCAACAAAAAAAGGATCAAATTGCTAGCATTCAACCAAATGAATTCCATTATGTGAAGTTAAACTTACTAGACAAAAGGGTACACATTCTATTTATATGATGTTCTGGAAAAGAAAAAACTATAAAGGCAGAAATTAGATTAGTAATGACCAGTGGCTGGGGCTAAAACGGTCTGGGAGAACTTCGTGGATGATGAAAATGTTCTTTATCTTGGTTATCTTGACTACACATTTTTCAAGACTCATCAATATGTATTCACAGTCCATTAAAATAATATAGCTATTCACTATAAGTACTTCATATAGTCATCTAGATATGCATTTAGGATGTATATGAATGTATGTCTAGATGATTGTAATGGACTATGTAGAGTTGAGAAAGAAGCCCTTTCTAGAACAGTGTTTTTCAGTCTGTAGCAGTATCATAATCACCTAGAAGATTTGTTTGCCACAGATTGCTGGACCCCAGTCCTGCATTTCTGATTCAGTAGGTCTGAGGTGGGGCCCAAGAATATGTAGTGTAAGAAGTTCTCAGGTGATGTGGATGGTGCTCTTTTGAGGGAACAGTACATAGAGAACCTCTGTCCCTAAAGTTCACAGAATGGTGTGATTTCGCTTTCAAATTTTACCTTGCTGGTTTCATGGAGTGGCTCCTCTTTATTAATTCTAACAAGTGTTTCATAGACCAGCAGTTTAACTCTTTTCAAAATTATTACCACATTTCCCCACAGAACAAGGGAACTCTGGGAGTAGTAAATTGACATGCCTCAGGGAGCGGGAAGAATTGCTATATAGAAGCTGATAGAAAATGAAAAAAGCTTAGAACAAAACTCATTCAGTTGGACTGGCCACTTCCAAGTTGAAGCTGGGCCTGAGTCCCTTCTTTTGGTTGAATTCTTGGATAGGCAGATTTTTTCCTTCTTGGGCTGGTCAGATGGCTGTAAGGAAAGCACTTTGAGGCTTAACTCACTTTGTCTTTGGTTACCTTGATTCTACCCCTAATACATCCTGTGTAGCTTGACCTCAAAGTTCTTCATTCAGGTCCCAAAAATTGAACAGCCTGTTTGGCTCAGTGTTATCTTCTATTTTTATTTTAATCCTATTTTTACTTTGAGTTTTAATTAATTTGTATATGTATGTTGCTATAAATTACCTAGATTGTGTCTTACTGTTTCATAATTCTCCCTTTCCAGACCCAACCCATTCAGCAAAATATCACCTTTCATCAGGCATTCAATTGATTGATTCAATAAGTTATCCTACTGCTAACTACAAGGTCGGTGGGTCAAACCCACCAGCCTCTCTTGGAAACCCCATACAAGGTTGTTATGAGTCGGAACTTACTCAACGGTACTTAACAACAACAACCATCAGTTGAAGGAGCTCTGGTAGCATAGTGGGTTATGAGTTGGGCTGCCAACCAAAAGGTCAGAAGTTTGAATCTACTTGTTGTTCCTCAGGAGAAAGATGAGGCTTTCTGCTCCTGTAAAGATTTACAGGCTTGGAAACCATATACACAGTTACTATGAGTCGGAATGGACTCCATGGCTCACCACCACCACCACCCTACATCTACTGTGATATTTGAGGAATGAGTATTTACGTGTGGTAAAAAGCACAAGTTTAGAATCCCTCCTTGATTTTGTGTTTTGTTTCCCTTTCTGAATTTACTCACTGCCTTTGTGATACCCTTTCAGCTGCCCAGATTCCCCAGGACTGACTATACTTGGACGTTTCAACCCAGGGAGGCCTGAACATTTTGAAACTCTTATCCTCCCCCTGGCTTTTGTTTTGCTATAATTGTCTCACTCTTCACTTTGATTAATCCTGAAAAAGAAGGTATATCAAGGGACAAAGTTTACAAATACATTTTGGGATAAGAAGTATTTAGGTAATATGTTGTTGTTGTTGTCAAGTGCCTTCGAGTCAATTCTGACCCATAGCAACCCTGCATAGTGTTTCCAAGTGGTGAGCTTGAACCACTGACCTTGCAGTTCAAACAGCTTTGCAGTCTGGTGCATTAACCCACAGCGCCATACTAGGACTCCTTAGGTAATATAGTGGGATAGTTTCACTTCAAAGTCAGATGGCCCTGGATTGAAGTTCTAGTCTTAGTAGTTATGTTGTTGCTGTTGTTAAGTGCCATTGAGTTGGCTTGGACTCATAGTTACCCATATATAGGGTGTCCAAAGAGCAGCTGGTGGATTGGAACTTCCAACCTAGTAGTTGAAACTGAACTTGCGATCCAGTGCATTATCCTGTAGTGTCACACCAGGACTCCAGAATTATGTTAAGGCAAGTACATACCTATTTGCTTCAGTTTCTGTAAAACGAAGCTAATGATATGTGCCACATATAGAGTCAGTATGATGTAGTGGTTAGAAGCATGGATTCTGATGCCGAACTGCCTGGGTTTGTATTTTGGCTTCCCATTTACTAGTTATAACACTTAGGGCAAGCTACTTAATCACTCTGTATCTCAGCATTGACTTTACATCTGTAAAATGTGGCTGATAACATTACCTGCCTCACAGATGGTTATATGCTTTTGAGATGTCGCTGACTCATAGCAACCCTCTAGAAGAGAGTAGAGCTGCCCTCTATGGTCTCCTAGCTGTATTTTTTACTAAGACAGATCACCAGGTTTTCTTCCTCCCTGGTAAAGACTGATAGGCTCAAACCTTATAGTTAGTAGGCAAATTCTTAGCCACTTTGCCACCAAAGTTCTTGAATATGAAATAGTAGTCATTCTTATCTGAGATGCCTCAGCATTTGTCTAGCACATTCTAAAACACCAGAATAAAATGAAACCATAAAATGATTTCTGATCTCTAAAAATTCCCACATGGACCCTGTCAAAGTCTAGAATGCAGGATTTTGATACGGTCCTTTTTGGTATATTTTTAATATGCCTCCTTTTGGTATATTTGCAATAAAGAAATGTGCTCAATTATTGTTGTTGTTGTTAAGTGCTGTCGAGTCAGTTCTGACACATAGTGACCCTGTATGGGGTTTCCTAGGCAGTTAATTTTTGTGGGAGCTGAAAACCTCATCTGTCTCCTAAAGAGAGGCTGGTGAGCTTAAACCACTGACCTTGTGGTTCACAGTCCAGTGCTTATCATATAGAACCAGTGCTCAACTATGGACAACAGAAAAATTAGTATTTGACATCTATTTAATAAAGATAAAAAATATATATATAAAGAGAAAAATGAAAGAGGGAGGAAGATATAGTTAAGAAACTAGGGGAGTATGCTGGGAGCAGAACTTGCAGAGTTGTTGAGTGAGTAGAAAACACAAACAGGCAAGCAATGAGCTTAACCTGGGTAGTGGGGGAGACAGGCTTGAAGCAAATTTAAAACGTTGTCAAATAAAGTATGGGAGACGTTAAGATTCAATATAATGAGACAGTGGAATTATATTTTAGTAGGAATTTGTGAGTCTAGAGAAAATCACAATTAATATGTCAGCTTAAAGAGCCTTTTTCAGAGTTAAACATTTTCCCATTGTGCTATTATTAGGAATCAAGTCACTTACTCGTTTTCATTTAATTTTAGATTGTCTGTAAAAGGCAAAGCACATATGAAGAAAAATTAGCAAGAACTCCTGCTTTTCATTGTGATGAACCAGAGGATGTCTTGATTTAAGTAAACGCCCAGTTAAGTACAAATCTCTTATAATTAAGTAAAATATTTGCTCAAGTTAATGAAATGGCATTAGATTAATAGGATAATTCATAAGAATTTTATACAAGTGAGCAACAGCAACAAAAAAAGGCCTGTGCAGATGTGAGTAAAAACAATTTACCAAATAAGTGTATAAATTAATAAATCTGAATGTCATCCTTTAAATGCTTTTCTGGGGTTTTCAGTGAATTTAAGTTTGGATGTCTTTGAGTGTTACTGGTTTTACTTTGTGTAGAATGGTTAATTTTATTTGTCAATATGGTTAGACTACTCTGGATACAGGACCACAGTGGCTCCATACAATAAACACTGGACACTGGACCCTGAACCACAAAGTCAGTGGTTCGAGCCTGCCCGTGACTCTAAGGGGGAAAACATGATGCTTTCTGCTCCCTCGAAGATTTAAAGCCTCAGAAACCAAAACCAACTCCATGCCACTTACCAACAACAACAGTTTGGAAATAGCTAAGAAATTGTTATGCGGGACTGACTCAGTTGGCCTTAAAAGCAGATTACCAACCAGAATCAATTGAAGGCTTTAGCAGAATCCTAGAATATATTCTGTCTCCAGACCATAAACAGACATTTTACCATTATTTGCTCACTCTTCACTCCTCCTGTTTTCTGACCTACATCGAGATCATGAGACACAAGCCTACAGGAATCTCCAGACTGTTGCCTGATCTACAAGATTTTGTACTTGTTAGCACACCTTTCTTTCCTCAGTCTCCTTCTCCATTCCTCCCTCCCTTAATGAGTGAGCCAATTCCTTAAATAAATCTCTCTCTCTTTCTCTACTTATGTATCTGTGGATGTATTTATTATTTATTCACTGGTGCTGTTTCTCTAGATAATCCTGACTAAGACAATAAATCTTATACAGTGAAACTCTTAAAAAGTGAAAAAAGCCGATTCCTCTCAGTGGTGAGTTTTTCAGGGCAGAATATTTACTATGTGGATCTCTCTGCCTTTTATCAAGTTGAACTTTCATGGGTTTCCCAGGCAGTTTTCTAATCTCTCATAGAAAAATCTGCTTTTCTCAGGGTTCAAAATGATTGAAAAGCATGTATTATTTCTTTTTCAATCCCAGCCATGTGTTCAGATTTGAGGTTTAAATTTCTATTCTCTTATTTTCTAGGAAGATTTAGCATTAAACAGCAAGTACATAATCAAAGGAAACCTATATGATTTAACATGAAATGAATGTCTTTAGAGAAACTGTCCTCTCTCATGAATAGAAACGCGAACTGCCAGCACTTGGAGAGTGTTATCTCTGAAAGAAGCTTGAGTTTCCCGTACAACTTCTGCAGGCTTTTTTTTTTAAACGTATATTCTTATGCCCATTTACATGGGAGAAGTTCTTTTTATTGACAAAGATCCAAGCAAGTACAATTAAAATCCATATCTAGGATAAGGGGGGTGGGGGGTGCAGATGTTCTTAATTGGGAATATTAGCATCAGGCAATCCTTTTCTTAAGCATTGGAGTTGGTGAAATTGAGAAACCAGACAGTCTATGAAACAAAAACAAATAAGAAAATCATGTTTAGAGAAAGATTTACCAGAAACTATGACTTTTCCCTGGAGAAACCAAACAAGAAATATTGCGTACACTGTTTCCCAGTTTAGTTTATGAGCTGCTGGAATGAACCACACCCAACCTATCTGATAAGTAATGATAATAAAGAATAGGTATTTTTGTCTTAGAAGCTTCTCATACATTTAAAATAGTCCCCACTTTGACTGGCCCAAGAAAGGGAAACACTCAGCACACCCTGAAATCTGAAAGCCCTTTGGTATTTTCACTTACCTACGGGACATTTTCAGAATTCTTTGGAAAAATTTACTGCCATATTTCAAGCATACAGTTGTCCTATTCTTCTTCCAGATTCTAAGAGAAAAATAAATATAAAGCAGTGCTACATTTTAATCCAGAGTCCTGCTATGACTTCGTAGGGTAAACACTGGACTGCAAGGTTGGTTTGAACTGCAAGGTCAGCAGTTCAAATCTACCAGCCGCTCTTCAGAGGGTTGCTATGAGTGAAACTGACTCAACAGTACTAAAGCAGCAACAACAACAAACATTTTAACGCGTCCTTATTAAAGGAAAGAGTTGTGTAGGAAAATGATTATTCTCAGGTAAAGTGAAGTTGGAGTGAGGTGGTTTGGATTGTGGAGTATATGATTTTAGCATAAGGAAGGTCTAAGGAATTAAAAAACAAACAAACAAATACACACCATATATGAGCTGGTGGATCTGAAAATAAAATTGATAAATTCTCACATTTCAGAAGCTATTATTTGTTGATAGCATTTACTAGAGTTACAGACAGACCAGGTAGCTTGAGTCCAAGGTTGATTCCCTACTAAAGTTACATCAAGATATCTAAAAAACATCTGTTGGTTCATTGAGTTTAGGAAACAAAACAGGTTACAGAAAACACTTTCTTGAGAACCTTGTATTTGGGGAAAAAAAAAAAAAGTTGAATGCGGGAGAGGATCCAGGGCTAATGACTCTGGGCGACATCTACATTTTGTTGAACCACCAGCTAGTAGGGCTTTCATTACTGTAAGAAATTAATAGCAAAAGTCACACCAGTGATTAAAGTTAATATTTATCATGTACTTATTATGTACCAGGGACTATGCTGAGCAGGTAATGTGGGCCATTTTATAGATTGATTTCATAAAAACCTTATGCTAAAAGAAGTAGTATTTCCTCACCTTCACATGAGGAATTTGAAGCTTAGCTAGTTTAAATAATTTGCCTAAGATTGCATAACATTTAATTTATACTAGACCAGGATTCAAATAAATGTTATTTGACTCCAGAACTAACACTTTTAGCCACTGCTCTACATGGGCAGGAATCCCTGTGTGGTGCTATAGGATAAGCACTGGACTGCTAACCACAAGGTTGGTGGTTTAATCCCTATATAGGGCTGCTATGAGTCAGAACCGACTCCACGGCACGTAACCACCGCCATCTGGGCATAACCTTAGTTAGTATGAATCTCTAGCCATGGTGTTGTGTTTTACCTGCATTGGAAGCTGGTATCAAACTGGGAAACTCAATCCTAACGAGTGACGACCTTGAGCAAAACATAATTTCTTGGTGTTTTCCATTTTTTTAGCAATAAAATAACAAATGTGAGAGCCCTTCCATCTAGCTTTGAATCTCTACCCTTGTGATTTTATAGAAGACAGGGGTCATAGAATAGTTGGGGTCTTGAGCAGAACCTTCCTGTTTGATCTCTGGCATCATGATGGGAAAACAGATTTCTCATGATCTAGATTCACAATATTTTCACCCCTGACTGCTGCTGGTTTTTTTCTTTGTCTGGTGAAAATTCAGAAATACACAATATTGAATCAAAGAACCAACTCAACAGCTCTTAACAACACAACTACCAACAACATATCAAACGAAATATTTTTTACTTTAATATTCTGAAGTTAAATAAAATAGGGTATGTTATCTCTCTTGGTTGAGAGGGGAGTGATTAGACTGATGAGAGAGAAAATACAATCCAAAGACTGGATCCCCAGGGGCTTTACATACAGTGTCTCCTTTGATGATCTGTGGAAAATTCTAGAATAGAAATATCCACATATGCCTCCAGGAGCATCAAAAAGGAAGGGCCATACTATTTCAATTCAAGCAAATAGCTATTACATTTCTTATAGTCACTTATGCCCTCTTAGCTTAATCTCTTACCAATTGCTGTTGTGAAGTGCCGTTGAGTTGGTTCTGACTCATAGCAACCCTGTATAGGGTCTCCAAGGAATGGCTGGTGAGCTTGAATTGCTAACCTTTCAGTTCAAACTGAATCTTGCAGTCTACTGCATACGTCTACAGCACCACACCAGGATGCCAATCTCTAACCAATATTGGGTCGAAATTGGTAAAGCTTAAAGCTAAAGATTCATAAAGTAATTATTCAGACCAACTGCTGTTCTGGATACTTAGCTTTTGCTTTTTAATTTGTTGGTAAACAAAGTATCTGCTATTGCTACCAATTAGAATTTGGTGGGTTAGAGAAGAGGCTTTGGAATAGGAAAACATAGGGGTTGGGTACACTTCAGGCAGTTCTTTGATGCCTCTAAATCTCAATTTTTGTATCAGAATAAGGACAACAGCAATAGCTCTCCCTTCCTATGGTGTTGAAAGAATAAAACAAGTGAGTGCAGGAGGCCCACTTAGCTTAGCGGCTGCAGCAAAGTAAGTACTCAATGAACATTATCTTTGAGCCAGATATGGATTCCTTGGCATGCACATCTAATAACAGCAACAATGTTGTTATTAGATTAAGCATTTTAAACACCACTCAAAACAAGTCATTTTGACACTGTTGAGTAAGAATGCTGCATGACTACATGTGGTCTGATTTTTTATTGGAGAAAGGAATATATAACCAAAACCAAACCCACTGCCACTGAGTTGATTCCAAATCACAGCAAATCTCTATCAGACTTCTGAGACTATAAATCTTTACAGGAACAGACGGCCTCATCTTTCTCCTCCAAAGCAGCAGGTGGGTTTGAAGTGCTGACCTTGCAGGTAGCAGTACTGAGGTACTCTACAGTGCTAAAGCTACCAGGGTTCTCTCTCTCCTCCTCTTTCTAGTTATTTCTTCCAAAAAATTGGTGGAAGCAATTCCATTGTTTCATGAACTTTTTGAAATTCCCTCAAGCCCCCATTTCACCCCCACCTGTGTGTGTGTGTGTGTTTGTGTTTTTTTTTCTTGCAACTTACACGATTTCTACATTTGGGCAACCACTGCCAGCAGGGAAGATTTGCAGCTGCTGAATTTGCTGCAGGGGGACAAACGCTGAGGTCTCTTGGATGCACTTACACTTAAAGTGCGTGTAATTGGCCTCCAGAAAACCTGTAAACAGAATCACTTACTTTAGTCCTTTTGTTAGATAATTCATAACTAGAACTTAATTAACTACTCTTTCATATTTTGCATTTGAAGATTTTCAAATTTAAAGTTTAAATTAGCTTAAAAATTAAGAAAGATAAAGTCCTTACGCTCACCATATGCTTTTAGCTTAGTGTGCATTTCTGCTTGTCTTGGCTTGATTGTTTTTGAGCTTTTTTTCTATCAAAATCTTAAACATAAAATTAGCTTCTTAAAAACAAAGTGTCTATTGAAGTTGTGGCAGCATTTATATTGATAATTCAAAGGGCTATCGATAAACAAAGTTTAAAGATTGCCACTGTGGTGACTTACAACTGAGTTATAATTAATGCAAAATAAAATAAACCGACCTTCGCTTGCACGCAACATAAAAACCAAGAATACAAACTGGTTAGAGTCCAGGGAGCAATAACAGGATGAAACAGCATTCTCCTTGTTACCATACTTTTCTGTCTTTCTATTTGGGGAAATGTCACAAAAGACCCTTTATTGATTTTGTTTAATAAGTTGATTCTCCAGCACAATTGTGGAGTGTGATCCAACAAAAACCAATAACAACAACAAAAAATTCAAAACTATTTCCATTCAACAATAAAAGCCACTAATACTAGAAACCTACATAAATAACCCATCTCTGACATTTTAATGAGCACCAAGTTTATTTAGCATGTATTGAAACCTCTTTATCCCCGGTGTCTACTTTGTGCCTGACATATATTTACAAATAAAGGATATAACTTTCAAGGTGTTTACAATTTAGTGAAGGAAACAAGAAGACAAAATACTATGGGAGGTTATATTGAACCTAAAATCTAAGCTGCACGCTGGAACAGAGGATTTAACTAACAGCTTCCTTTTCCAGGAGTGATGGAAAAGCTTCAAGAAGGGAGAAAGAAACTAGGGTTTTAAAGAATAAAAATAACATGTGAATCAAAATGAAACTTGAACAAAATGATCCTGCACTTTAAAAACAAATTTGTTCTCTCAAACATGAGTGGAACATTTCATTCTGTATATGCGTACAATTCTTATAAAAACTTACGACTTCAAAAAGATACTTATCTTCTTACACAAAGGATAGCCTTTTCATCTATTCTGGAAGGTCTTTTTCTCTGAAGAATGCATGTAAATTTGTATCCCTGGCACACTTACAATGGTTTACGTCAAAGCTGATCATATGGAATTATGTTGAGAACATTCCAGGCAGCAGACCAGTTGAGGTCAATAACCCTTAAACCCCAAAAAAGTTTGGTCAAAAGAGATATGTAAAGAATTAGGTATAAAAGGAGCTCAATCTAAAAAAGGCCAGGGATATACAAACCAATGATAAGTATATGAACATTGGATTTTCAGCATCTCTTCCTTCCACAAATAGGTATCTTAACAACATGAATGCTTCTGGCTTCTAAGAGTTAAATTCCCTTACTTCTAAAAAGCACTTTACTTTTAGAAATCTAGGATTAGCTGAGAACTTTTTACCACTTTAGTCATATTCTTTCCCCACTCCCATTTTTTTGTAATTGAAAAAAATGTATATGTATAAAGAAATGGCTGAAGACCATTTCTGTTCAAAGGACAATGAAAAGGTAAATCAGTTCTTACCCTGGATTGAAGGCATGTTAATGGCCAGCACCAGCAGAAGCAGAGATGTGGAAGTGAATTTCATTTTGCCTGGAGGTGGAGTTCAGACTTCAGCTCTAGGATCAAAGTGTGGGTTCTTAGCCCTAGAGAGTCCTATTTATTTACATCAATAAGGGCCCTCCCACTGCCTTTGTCTCCAGTAGGTCAGCAGTATCATCATTTGTAAAAGCCCCCAAATATTGCTGAGCTTGCTGTTTTTTGGACTGCCTCTTACAAACTATGAATTTGCTACAAAGCACTATTAGTATTATAAAAGATTTCTTGAATCTGTAGACTATAAATGCCAGGGATGCTGCAGGAAGTTGGAGTTGGGGAGAGAGAGAAACGGTATCAGTTTGGAGGCGCCAAGACACTGTAGAATCACTAGGAGTGATTTTGGCTTCTATTTCTTCTTTCTTGAAGGGTCAGCAGACTATCTCAACGGTGTTTGAATGAAATTAGGGACTGCATCAAGCTCTACCCAAGCTCCCTGCAGTTTTATTGTTGGTGTTGTGTACTGTCCAGTTGGTTCTCCCGGTGTACGGTTTCCAAGAAGCAATTGGTGGCTTTAAACTGTGGACCTTGCAGTTTACAGTCCAGTGCTTATCCTACAGTGTCTAGTCTTTGGTAAAAGTTCATTAAACATTTGCAGATCTAATTAATAACTCCTTATTTATAGATTCTTATGTGGATTGTTGTTGCTGTTAAGTGCGATTGGGTCAGCTCAGAATCATATAGCTACCCTGTAAAGAGTTTTGGAGACTTTAAATCTTTGGGGAAGCAGAAAGTTTCATCTTTCTCTTGCAGAGCCGTTGGAGGGCTGGAACTGTGGACCTTGTGATTCGCAGTCCAGTGCTAACCTGTGGAGCCCCCATGCTCCCTTATGTGTATTAGATTACTGTGTTTTCTACCAAACTTTCCCACTTCTTACTTTAGCATGTGAAAAATATGATTACTTGTAAGTGAGGGCAGACACACAAGAACACCCAAACATGCAGATAGTAGCCATTTGACCTAGCCTCGATGGCTTGATAATCAGAACTTGACTAGAGGAAGATTTAAAAAAAAAAATGATAAAGGAAACAAGGATAAATTGCTACAGTTTGATTAATTTGACCTAAACTCATTGATGTAGTAGCTCAAAATACCAACAGAGAGGGAAGAAATCTTCCCATCAAGTATCAATGCTACCCCCTCTGTACACAGGGTAGATAGGGATGGGCAACTTAGACATTGGCTACCTAAAATGATGGGATAATAAAGCACTAAGTGCTTAGGTTACAAATTTTCAAAAGGGAGTTTAGTTTAAGAGTGTGAGGTGGAAGATAGAGTGCTCACCGAATAGTTTTCATCTTGTCTAGATGGGTCTGGTAAAAAGAGACGGGGATAAGATTCTTATGATTTAATAGTGAGTGATTGTTATCATGACTAATTGTGACTGTCACAATTGTAAAGGCAGAAGTTTTGTAACAAAAACAGGGGAGTAGTTAATCTTACAGTCCAGAAACAGAGGTTCCTAGGATCATCAAGGGAGAAGAGCATAAGTGGAATGCAAGAAGAAGCAGCGACACTAGAGATGGAGGCAGAGATGGGGACATAGAGAGAGGGAGCAGCTGAGGACTCTAGATTCATGGGAATAGAGGGGCTGATGAGGCTGACTTGCAGAATGTGCCCTTTGAGTGGCGTAAATTATTATATATGCCTGAGTGTTTCTTTAAAAAAAAAGGGGGGGGGGCTGAAATGAATTGACAAAAATACTGTTAACTGATAGACATGGAGGGGATTATAATCATTGTAATGAAACACAATATATAATTTGTTGACTGTAAAACTGATGATCTGCCCTGTAAACTTTCACTCAATTCACAATAAAACTTTAAAAAAAAAAAAAATATGTGTGTAATTTGACCATGATGGAAATTCTGGAAGGGGGCATTGTGTGTCTCTTGTTGGTGTACCTGTGTCTTGATGGTAGAAAGACCACAGCTTTGAGAAAGAGAGCCTTTCTAGCTACCATGTGCAAGCTACTGAGCTCAATATACAAATGGAAATGGAGGGAGTGATAAGAGTGTCATCAGATGTTCAAAGTTCAGTTACAATTCCAGATATGGCTGTTTAGCTTAAGCATTATGTGCAGTTTGGATTTGATCTGCTAAATTGTCCTTGGCAAAAATGAACATACAACCTTAACTCACTTGCTGTGTACGTACTCTGTGATTAAAACAAATAGACAAACAAAAGACAGACAATGACTGATCTGGTCTAGGGTACTCAGGCCTTGTTGTTATTGTTGTTAAGTGCTGTCCAGTCGGTTCCAACTCATAGTGACCCTGTATAGGGTTTCCAAGGAGCAGCTGGTGAGCTTGAACCATCAACCTTGCAGTTCAAATGACTTTGCAGTCTGATGCATTAGCCTACAGCGCCACAGCCCTTTCCATATTTGGGCAGCTGCAGTTATTAGACCTCACAGCACATAACAACAACAACAGCTATTAGAACATTTATTCTATGCCTATGTGAAGCTTCTTCCTTAATACTTCAATCACTTTGTCCTAATTCAATCCTTTGTCTTTGCTGTCAAGTGCCATTGAGTTGGATGCGACTCATAGTGACCCCTGTATAGGTTACTGAGGAGTGACTGGTAGGTTTGAACTGCTGACCTTGTGGTAAGCAGTCCAATGTTATCCTATAGTGCCATGCTAGGATTTCACACTCCAAACATTTAAAGGTCTGGTTTGTCACTTGGCTTCTCCAGAAAGCAGATGCTGGTATGGCGGTTGGAATATGGAGCTGTGGGTTAATGGGCTGGACTGCAAAGGAGATTTGAACTACAAGGTCGGTGGTTCAAACTCAACTAGCCACTTCTTGGAAATCCTATACAGGGTCACTATTGGTCAGAACTGACTCAATGGCACTTAACAACAGCAAAAACATTCAGAATAAAGAGAGAGCGGTAACTCCATACAATAAGTACTGGACTGTGAACGACAAAGTCGGCACAGCCTCTCCATGGGAGAAAGATGAAGCTTTCTGCTCTTGCAAAGATTTAAAACCTCGGAAACCCAACACAGGGTTGCTATGAGTTGGAACTGACTCAACAGCACTTAACAACTACAACAACATTCAGAATAAGAGAGCAGAATGACTCTGTAGGACAAGCACTGGACTGTGAACCACAAAGTTGGTGATTCAAACCCACCAATTGCTCTGCAAAAGAAAGATAAGACTTTCTGTTCCTGCAAAGATTTACAGCCTCGGACACCCTATACGGGTTCCCTATCAGTTAGAACTGACTTGAGGACACATAGCAATAACAGTACAGAATAACTTTTTTTTCTTAAATGTTTTATTGTGAATTATGTGATAGTTTACATGGGAGAACATTTGTTTTACATTCATTCTATCGTATATCGTCTCATT